TTGAAGTATTTCGCGAAAAATAAAACAAAGAGTAACACCATACGAAGCAGTCAGGCCAATATCTTGTTGATATCCGAAACTTGGAACCTCCAACAGAACGGTTATTTCCTGCACGTCTACCAGTATTACACAACTACCATTTGCAGCTCATTGCAGTCTGACACTTATTCACTGTACCCCTTCCTTTTTCCAGACTGTCTAGAAAGTTATGCAAAAAGTTTCATCCCTTAGAAAACACAAGTCTTTGCCGTACGATCAAAAGAAAAATGTCCACATATCATAGTAATCAACATCGTTCTGGCGTTCCTAAAAAAACACTGCATTGCTTAGTAGCAAGTAATCACGGTAGCGCAATCCGACCATGCTACCTCTCACAATTATTATTATTACTTGGTAGTGATTATTAATAAAGTACAAAAAGTAAACTCGTTGAATTGTTCTGAAATGCAAGTAAATTTCAATTTAGTTTCATCGATTCCGATCGCATGCAAATGCTCGACACCTGATAGGTCAAATCGCTAATCAGCCAGTCAAAATACTCGATGATGCCAACGTGTTCAAATTACCAAAACATAGGAGATTTGCCGATGTTCCAGCTCGATCTTTTACCTCTGGTTTTGATGGAAAAGACGGCACGTTTTTTTTTTTTTTAACTCAAAACATTAGTTGTTTTCGATGATAAACTGACCATTTGAAGACTATTTTTACGATGATAACAGCTCATTGTCGAATTGAAGCTTTACCCATTCACGCTAACCACAATAAACGTCATACTCTTGAATAGGCGTCAATGACTACTGTAAAATTCGTAAGATTGTGGGTCAGGAGTGAGTGTTGTTTTGACTTGGGTATTGTGTTTTACATTCCAACTTTTGGATTCACGGCGAAATTTAAACCACGCGAATGATTTCTACTTCTACATTTAATTTATTGCAATGGATATCTGAAAGCCCGTAACCTAATGTTATTGACATTGTTTACTGTCTTACATCGTCATGTCCCAGTGTTACCGATGGTTAGACCATGGAGGTGATTAGACATAGACAAACTACGTTACGATAATGTTGTTTGTAAACCAATAAGCTTTGTAGATTGAATAAACATCTAGGGGATTTGCATTTTCGTTTACTCAAACTGTGATTGACAGGAATTTTGCATACATTAGTCACCATTTTAAACTTGTGATTTTACTGGTCGCGACACGTTTTGAACGAAAATAACAACATTTATACATCAAATCCCCAACCAGATGAGTGTAATCGCTAGAGTACATATTCATGCCTCCGTGGATATGTATTTGGAATCACAGATTGATCTCCAAACATCGTAAATGGCACATTTCACGGAGCTCCCGCCACAATGTTAGCTGCTTGGTTCGGATTAGCATACTAATACGGTGGCCATCTTGACCCTTATTTATAGTATCAGTTCCCCTTTAACAAGGTTTGGTGCTCCTTGGTCTGTGCATAGAGGTAGGACGCTATTTAAGCCCATGTTAATGTTATAAACATCCTTTGTCTTCGCTCTGGTTAAGCCACTTATGTTTTATCTACATGATGATTGCCGCTTATTTACACAAGAAAACAAGAGTAGAACTGAAAAAAATAAATTCCATTTAAACATCGTCTATAAAATTGAATGCGCAAACCATAAATAAAAAAATTGTGCATGCGCAATAACCTTTACCGGATCACAAAGGTTATTTGACACTTGTAGTACCGGGAATTCTGCATACAGACGCTTCCAAGACGTGTGATTACTTCTTTTCTGATATTTTTCATCACAATAGTCGTCCAACTTTGGACATTGATTAACAGTGAAATTTAAAGATACATGATAAGTTTATAACAAGATGTTTTGATGGGGCATTTTTCATCGGTGTGCAGTACTGTGCAGATGTTAAAAATCGCGCCTTTTGTTGCAATAAATTTGGTGCACTGAGTACATTTCGCTGCATTTTGTATTATTGTTATCTGTTTTGGCATGCACAGTGCGTTGAGAATCTTCTTGAAGCTTCCGAATACAGTCGAAACACTTAAGCCAATTAACGGTGACACTTGACAGCGTGTTTGCCAAATAATTAAAATGTGTACTGAGTAAACAAATCCAAAGCATCATGAAACCAGTGGAAACAATAGCGTCCTCACTCCTTCTCTTTTCTACCTTCATGGTCTGTGCTAACCACTGTTTACTCCTGTGTGTGAACGCATTTGGGTCTATTGGGTCTATCCGATATGCAAACATGACATTAGTTTAAGGGGAACTGCTCAATCCCATGGATTGCACCATGTGCTCATGGGTAATTAACTCCGCCTCTGCCTACTAAGTAAATGAATGCTCGCTTACTCAAACTCTGATTGACAGGTATTTGCATACATTAGCCGCCATTTTAAACTCAGGATTTTTACTTGTCGTGGCACGTTTCGATCGAAAAAAACAACATTTATACATCAAAAGCCCAACCAGATGAGTGTAATCGCTAGCGTACATATTCATGCCCCCGTAGAAATGTATTTGGAATCACAGCTTGATCTCTAAACATCGTAAATGGCACATTTCCTGGAGCTGTTGCCACGATGTGAGCAGCTTGGTTCGGATTAGCATACTAATTGCGGTGACCATCTTGCTCCTATATCTTGGCCTGTATTTTTTGTAGCCTCAGACTACTGAAGAACAGACTAGCAACACTGCTTTTCCTTTGGTCAGATGTGTGCTAGATTTGTTTTGGCATAACTTTTTAATCCAATAAACTGATCGAACTAACTTGACTATAACATAATAACGCGATTTAATGATTGAAAGATAAAAAAAAAATGACAGATTTCATTTCTGGTTAGATCTGAAAGTATGAGCCTGTGCATTCAGCGCTAGAATGACATTACAAAAGCACACAAAGCGGGTAAATGTGAGTGTGTTCGAAAATTTTCGGGTAAATGTGTTTCAGTAAAGTACCTGCAAGGTCTGCCATGGCATGTATCTCATGGGTGCAATCCCCAATTTGCACCTACAACAATAGGTGTTTCTAGTCTGTTCCTTAGTAGTACGAGGTGTAGCGTGAATACTACTAATGCTTGTGTAGTTGTGCTTGTGTAATGATGATTATTGTTTAAATCCTAGGCTTATATAAGCAAGATATTAACACAGGCAAATAAAATCAGGATGTTTACTGAACCATCTAGGCTGTAGTCAGTGTAATTTATAATTGGATTAATTTAGGTTAAAACAAAAGACCCACCATATGTAATGCTGGTACAATAAAACAATAAAATATTGTACTATCGACAAAAAAAATCCATTCCCTTCATTTTTGTAGATTTATAAATTCACTATTCAAACTGGAAACGTACATGGGAGTGACCTACATTTTCAACCGTTTATGCACACTTTGTAAGCCCATGCTGATTGTCTAGACCGAGTCGAAAAAGCTGCTCGGATTTAGCTTACACTTGCTGTTTCTTTGCTTGTACTAAGTGTTTACACACGTTTTCTTAGCACAGGGTAACGTTTTGACACCTAAGGAGCTGTGTGCTAATGCAACTAGTGAATTTCATGACAGCATGAATGATTTTAATGTGTTTTTTTTATTTACCTTTGAAAATTCTCGCATTCAAGTCTAAAAATACACTTTCATTGGCTATAGAAGCCAATTATCCATGAGTCTTTGCAAGGTTTTTTTCAATCATTGACCTATTTACTGCCATACATCCATCAATGTGTTGTGATTGGTCATTTGAAATTCATATAAAACATTAATAAATATTTTATATAAAAAAACCTTTGTGTCCTCATGAAATTCTGTGCTGTAATGAGTTTACCGTTAAAACACGTCTTGCATATATTATTTTTTAAAGGCCTATGGCTACAATTTTTACGATTTTTGCATATTTTTTAATCAATGTGATACTGAGTTTGTCTTACCAAATGAGTAAACAGTGGGTGAAAATGCACATGTTAAACCTAGAACGAATATTCATTTTCATGGTATTGTCGCAAATAAATTCATTTGTTTGTATCTTTTTACTTAAATTTCAGTTCTCAAAGGATCCATGTGCTTGAGTTCCTCAATAAATGCAGACTCAGTCCCAAACCCAGACTGTGAAGCAGTTAATCAAAATAAACAGCTACTGCAACTGACGAGATGTCAAACCCTGTATTTCCATGCAAACGCCTTGCATCAGCACAGGCACTTCAGTACTCAGTCTGAATCTAAACCAAAACCTAATGACATTGACAGAGATGAGAAAGCCAGCGTTTTAGATGAGAACTGTAACAAGGGTAAGGCTATTATTGACAATGAAGGAGTGAAACCTGAAGTTGAAGGAACAATAGATCCAGTTTATGATGTCGAAAGTGAAGAGCTGCAGAAAATGAGTCTGTGGCAAAGGTACAAGATCGTGTTGAAACAGTACGGCAAAGTTATGATACCCGTACATTTAGCCACATCTACCGTATGGTATGGTTCATTCTACTACATAGTTAAACACAGGTGAGACACTTTCGGGGTGGCGTTCTCTGAGAATACTCTGAGAGGGACAGTCCATTGATCAGTACATGTACTTCACATCAAACACTTGTATAGCATAGGTTATGAGGTGATATTTTTAATGACTATCAGGTCACCTTGATAAACAATAGTGACTTTTTGTGTGGATTTTAACTCAGAAACTTCTTATTCTCTGCATCTTTTTTCAGTGGCATTGACATGATCCCATATATTGAAAAATTTCTCTTGAAGATTGGGTTTGGCGAATCTATTATTCACCAGATAAATTCACCCACCGCCAGTGGACTTTTAATTGCATATGCCATGTACAAGATAGCCACCCCAGCCAGGTATACTGTTACGCTGATGGGCACCAGTTACTCCGTACGCTACCTACGAAGGAAGGGATTCATCGCTGCAGCGCCACCAAAGGACAAGACGTTGCGAGAAGCAGTGAAGGAATCGATGGACGATATGAAAGACAGATCTAAACAAATGATAGAGAAAAAACGAAGAGGAAATTGAAGAGAGAACAGAGTTGTGTTTTTTTTTTACTTTTGTTTTTTTAGCTTTTAATTTTATAGAATATTATCACTTTGAACACAAAAGTCATCATTGCTAAAATTAAATTTGCATACAATTTTGGTGTTCATAAGGGTTGAATAATATTTTAGTGGCTACTGTAAAATAATTATTTAGATTCTGATCATAGAAGTATATGATATATTACCATGGTAACTGGTCTAGATTTTGTATCTTGTTCAATAATTAAATTTACCGTAAGATACTTTATTTTCGCTTGGAATTAATATTCGCTATTTTTGCTGAATGAATGATTCAGTGAAAATAAAATCCAGCGAATATATCTTTTTTGCCTATATTTTACATTCAAGTTGTCAAAAATCAGTGAAAATAAATTTCATACAAAACATCAAAGAAGTCATTTTCAACGAAAATTGATTCCAACTTAAAGTATTTTACAGTAGATGGAATGTCCACTTACAATGCAAAACTATTGTATACCGAACAGGGTGGTACTCATTTGTATGCATCAACTTATATCAGAAAGTTTTTTAAAATTAATTCCTTAAAAAATTATCAAAAATAATATCATCAGTGTCATGATAAACTTGTTCATATGCCATTTTAACTGCACATTGAATAAATTTTGTATAATAAATTTATTCTTATCAAAGTTTTGTTTAATTATATTTATCAAAGTCAATTTTTAAGGGCATGCGTTAACATTTCAGGACTCTAAATTAACTGTAGGTCAAAAGATTACCAATTATTCCGGCTACTATTTTTCAAAAGTAGTGTCGTAGTCCAAACGAACTACTAGAAATATTAAAGAAACAAAACAAAATTACAGTATTTTCATATTAACCAGTGTATCGGTGTCCTATGTAAAATGAGTCGTGTGTTCACACTTTCTTGGTTTCGAGTGAACCTGATGAACAACCGGATAGTACCATGCGATTGCGAACTTTTGAAATTGGTAGCACAGCTGGCTTCTAGGACATTTCTGTTAATTTTGAGCCCTGTATATGATAAGATTCATTGTCTATTACAGTGTACTTGTGAACATGTTACAACAGCCTTTTTGAGAACAAATTGACATGAATGTGAATCTTGTTATAAGTTTTATAGGTTTATGACGATTCAGGACATTTGTTTGTTTGTTGGTTTGTTGTACACATGGCAGTTTACTCCTGTAATTGGTGATCCAAGTAATTACAACTGGAACTTGTTTTGAGTATATAGCTCAGTTAAATAATACTGCTTGTAGTATTTGTTCAACAATTGCTTGTAAAATATTACCATCCCATTAAATTTGATAATAAATGTGCTGTCTTTATTAAATGGGGACAAGGAAATTATTCATCAAACTATAATTTCCTTCAGGGTTTTTATTTTTAATTTCATTTAGTTTTAAAACTTTGAGTATACAGGTATGTTCAAATTTTGTAAATTAGTTGCTGCCACTTTACTGAATGTACCGGTAGCTGCAGTTGGGAGTTTTGACAATTCCGGCAGATGTGAAGAATGCTACACAGTTTCATTGCAATGGGGGGGGGGGGGGGGTTAGGCACTATGAATTTTGTGGCAGATCTCTTTACAGTACTGTGTAGAATGAACCCTGACTGTTACAGATAGAACAAGATTTGTTAAGTACATGTATCAATGTATTAACTTACATTAAACTACCAGTACATGCTTTCATGCATTGTATCAAAATGGAATGTATTTTACCATGCATTTTATGGCAAGTCATTTAAAATTATTTTCAATTTTGTCTGAATAAACTGCTAAACGTGTATTGTATTTTTTATGAGAATTTTCTGTAATGCCACTTCCATTTCAGGCATGTATTAAATACTAAAATGTGTACAGGGTAGTACGAGTCAGTATTAAACTGTGTGTATTTATTTCATTAGGTAACCTAATTTAATTTGCTGATTTGATGTTAGCTTTTTTATAAAAAATAAATTGTCTCGACAAATAATCTTTAAAATCTGTTTGCTTCACCACAACCATCTGGCGATGCAGCTATAACCTGAGACAAAATTCCTCAAGTCGGAGGAAAGAAATTTAGGAGTGAAAATGTTCATGCTTTATTTTATGCAGGGAGTCGCAGCAAATTTTGTAAAATGTAGTTCCAGAAGATGTCACTTAATTATTCAATCCTGAACATAGGTCTGTAGTACATTAGTGAATGAACATTTGTGTTGTGTTCGATGCAAATTTGTGGCATTGTTTGTTTGCCAAAAATTCATACATTTGCATCATTTTTATGTCCTATGGTGCACGACAGACGAAACATGGATAAAGTCAAACAGCTTTACAATGTACAACTAGTGCATGCAATTTTGTATAGAAATTGCATTATACAAATGTTCATTCCAATAAAGGTGAATATACAGTATGTCCCTGGACCCCCTAGGAAGGATGTGCCTTTGGCGCAAGGGATGGTGAGCAGATCTTGCCCCTTCGTACAAAATCTCGTGCCACAGTCTCTGCTGTTATTTATACCTTCATGGTTTCATAGACCTATTTCAGCAGCTTCAGCCTGACAAAGCATTCTTTTTACAAACATGCCCTACACCACAGTCCCTCAACACCGGTGTTGAGGGACTGTGCCTACACTAACTTGTGCACTGCGCAGCTGTGTGCCACACTGAGACTTAATTTGATCACATAACACTGAAATGCTCTGGAGCTGCACACTACACACATTATTCACTTTCAACAAATTCTCTCTAATAAAATTGAAGAAGCAGGTTGTCTTCAGTCGCGGGGGGCCAGTTTTATCATGCATGTTATGACTGCATGGTTAACATTTCGAACAAATTTGCTCAAAAAATCACTTTTGAGTTGCGTAAAAAATTTGAAATGTTTTCCATTAGAAGCTGACAAAATGGATGATATGAAGTTGCTTTATAATAAGCAGAGTTTCGTTGATATTCAAGTTCAAGAACATCCCAATGTTTTTGTCTGCATTGAGGTTTTCTCCTTTTTTTCAACGTGGTTGGTGCAATCAGAGGAAAATATTTGACAAATAAATCAGTAGTCATGACGTCATCAAATCAGTCTCCAAATACTAGTATTCCTAAATGTTTTTTCGGAAATCAAGGTTGTAAAAACACATGGTCTTGTCTGCATTCATTATTTTCCTTTCGTTCTCGTTGTACAAAATATTTGACAAATTAACGGGTAGGCAAAACGTAATAAATTCCTGAAATGTAATTGGTTCGTTCCTGCAATTAACGTCATCTACATTCAGCCTTGCTCCCTTTTCGCCGTTGCTGGCGACATGGAACATTTCGACAAATTAATTAGTAGACAAGAGTGTAATAGTTTCAGAAATGTTATTGGTTTGGTCCGGTGTGTCCGCACGTGAAAACAAATTTTAACTACCGACCGTTTGTCTCTTAACTGTTCTAGTCGCGGGGGTATAGGTTTTACAGGGGTTTTCTAACCGACATGAGTCAGATCGGATTATGATACTATTAGTGACAGTAGATTTCGAGAAAAAAAATGCTGATACCAAGATTCGTATGGGTTATATCCCGGGATAGAGGGACTGTGGTTAAATGTACATTTCCCATAATTCGAAGTTCGGTTACTAAATTTGAACGTTAAACAAAACAAAACAAAATATCTTGCCTGTAACTCTAAGTTCGGTTAAAATGTTAATTAATTTTCGAATTACTAAATGTGGACGCCCAACATAAATAAAAATACAGGTTGCCCGTAACTGGAAGTTCTCTTAACTGTTTATTGAACATTGAGTTACTGAATTTGGGCGTGCTTTCGCAAAAGTGGGTGTGGTTTCTGAAATATGAGCGTGATCATTTTTCTAACTCGATGTTTTCGTAACTAAATGCTCGATCTCTGTAACTCAAACAATCTCTTTTTAGTCAATAAAATTGCTCTACTCTGACATTTGCAGTAATTTGCGGCTGTGTGAAATGAACAAATGTACTAGAATCGTAGAGCACAAGATCAGGGGGCGTACATCTCCTATGCCTTTTATCCTTGCGGTTGAGATCCTTCTCTGTTCTTTACGCTCTGGTCTTTCCATGGTAGGAATTTCGGGCTACAATTTTGTTAAGAGGGCATCTTTTGCCGATGGTTTGACATGTTTCCTTGTTGAACTTGCTGGTCAATTTAAAAAAAAAAGAAAAAAAAGAGGAATCTGGACTGGCAGTTAATTAGCATAAATGTCTCCGAAGCTATTCACTGGGAAGCCTGGGAAGCAAAATGAAGTGTAAAACAAACACCTCAATTTTAATTGGCCAAATAGATATACTATTAGATGGCATTTATTTTATCCTATGACAAGAAAATAGCATTAGATAGAAATCTTGCGGAACCTATGCAATACTGGGGGTTTGGAAAATTACCGTGAAGATCCAAGTAATTAAAGCAATGGGAATTTAACGGTTGCAATATGTTTTCAATCCCACAGACAGTCCCAATAAATATAATTGTATTAATATTTTCATGGGGAGAAGGGTTAGAGTGGCTAGAAAAATATTGTTGACATTATTGATTGGTGTGACTCAATTTTGATATTACTATATCTCAGCAAAGAAATGGTTATTTGAAAATGTCGTTGGTGGAGGGTTCAGAAGCACTTTTAAGATGCAACCTCAAACATAATATTCTACCTATAAAGGTGCATGGCTTTCTTCTTTACATATGTTACATATGTGGCCAATTGTTTCAAACCAACCCTGGGAACGACATTTTCTTAAAGTATATGAAACAATGTCTCCAGAGAGGTAAGAGTTGGACGTTCTTCAGCGCCGGGTATCCAGTATGTTGGTGACCTGTTCATTGATAATAGACAGTTGCTTAAATTGAATGACATTGAACGGAAGTGAATACTTCGCAAGTGTTTGTTGAAATGGTATCGTATTTTGTCCGCACTGCCATTTAAGTATAAACGTTATATTGTCATAATTTAGTATATAAATCAATATGATGGGTATAATATTCATTAGAGGCATTCATCTTTA